TCATTACCCCAAACTGGACGATGACGATGAGTACTCAGGGGACATCAAGTATCCTTCCCTGGATGATATTCGCTCTCCTGTTCCGCAACAGTCTTATTTCTCTTCTCCAGTGCCGGCCTTAGAGTGCCAGAGACATGGGTTTTACAGACCACCCCTGGCTGAGGTACCACCGCCTTACTGGGTGGCCCATGCAGCCTACTCAAAATCAATTCTACAGCCTCATGGACCTTATTACTCCAGTCTACACGGACACAAAGGATTGAGAAAAACCAGGGGTTAGAATAGATGGTTTCCCCACTCTGTTCTTGAGTGCGTTAAGGAATTTGTGTCATATGCTATTGTAGTAGTTTCGTTTTAGTTAATCGTATCTTGTATTTACCATTTAAGGCTATATTGTTAATGTCCTCTAGGCTTCTAGAATATTACTGTAGGGGGGACACAATTTGGTTATTATTAAAATATCTAAATTTTTTATAATAATTTTTGAATTGTGGTTCATATAATTTAATTTTCATAAAACTAAGGTGGACTGAATATAAAATTGAATTTTTTTTTATTTTAGTTATATAATGGGAGGTAATTATTTTTTATCTTTTATCTCATTCTACCCATGCCATGCGATTTGAACTCAAAATTTTTTACTTTCAACAGAAAAAAATAATCACTAAATTACTTAAATCGTTGATAAAATAAATTTGATTTGAATATAATTATTAATTCATTTTTTAAATTATCAGAAAAAAATTATTTTTTTATTTGAAATTATCTGAATTTTTTTTAAGTAAAAATCAAAACATTCTAACTTTTAAAATATTAGAACTATTAATAAAATTGTTTAAATAATCTTAGTAAAAATTTTTTTGTGTGTTGATTTATTAAAAATATTTAAATTATTTCATTATCATTCTTAGTACTTTAATTACCAATACATCATGATTTTTCACAATCCCTTTTTTATTAAGTAAAAATAATTAAATTAAAAAATATATTTTTTTATTAATTGAGGGAGTCATAAACAACTTTAAAAATTTTGGTTAATTTGATTAGTAATTAAATTATGCAAAATAATTTAGATAACTAAATTTGTAAACAAATTAAAGGTTTAATACGGGTTTGGCATATCAATTTCAACTGATTTTTGTTCAAATTTTTAAGATTTAATTTAATAACATTGTTCTATAACTATAATTATTAAGTTTTTTTTATTTGACATTAAAAAAATATAAAATAAAAATATATTTATTTTAATTAATATTTTATATATTTTTAAAATAATATAATAATGTAAAAATTAAAAACTAAAATATCAAAAAGAATTCTAAAACGAAACCTAAAATTTTAATTTAGTTAAAACAAACCAAAACAAATACCCACCCGTAACATCTGCCGTGAGAAAGCCGAATGAATTTTGCATATGGGACCAAGTCAAGGGTAATCAGCTGCCCCACAGTGGACTTGAATACAATGTGGAGGTTGCATAATGGAGACTAGGTCCCATCCCATCTAGGCCTCTGTTTACAAACTTGTCACTTAACCATTGACAAACGATGCAAGTCAGTGATGCAGAAATCTAACTCGATAATCAGGAATAGCCATTTTACTTCTCTAACTTTTTTTTTTTTATCTTCCTATTTTAAGGTTAAAAACTCAATATCTTTAATTAAAAAAGTTTAATCTCTTAACTAATGAGATTATGATTTATAACATGTTTAGGGTGAGAGAATTGAAAAGAAGAGGAGGGGAGGGGAATAGAAAATTTTCTTTATTTGATTATCAAAAGGATAATGATGTATTTACCCTGCCAACCGACACCCACGGTTACACCATTCAGTTCAAAAAATATTATATGAGTTAAATACGTTTGTATAGCGTAAAAAACTCATCCCTGGCTTGTCTGGGTTATCTCCTTTGAAATCCCTAGTCTTGAAGGCAATTCAATCGGCCTTCCCCAACCTCCATTTCTCCAAATCCGACCTCCATTTCAATTCCTCCAAGCTCTACAGACTCGTCCCAATATGGTGAAACCATTTCAATCGGCCTTCCTGGACTTCCATTTCTCCAAATCTGGGTTATCTCCTTCGAACTCCCTAGTCATGAAGGCCAATTCAACCTCCATTTTTTCCAAAATAGCTACACCAAGATCAAAACACTGCCAATCGCTATCGATACACCAAAAATTAATTGAACTACCACAGATCCTGTCTTCACCTTCATTCCGTCCTCACCCATGTCGGAAAAGCTAGGGTCGGGACCACTTGGGTTTTGTGGGTTTCCAGTTTTAGACAACCCAAAGCACGCTCATCCCTTACTCTACCTGCAGGAAAACCAGAAGCTGTAGGAAAGGAGGCTGAGCATGAAGCTGAGCAAGTGTTCTTACCAAGAGAACCCAGATTGGGTTCTGAAGGAGAACCCAGATTCCCACCAATTCAAAGTAACCATAGATCCATCCGAAAAGAAGTCGAGAGAAATGGAGAACCCAGAGAACAAGAACCCGATCTGGGTTCTCCGAGAAGAACCCAGGTCTGGGTT